TGTGGAGCAACCTTGCATGGTCTATACTGTCGAAGGCTTTGGATAGATCTAATAGTACTAGTGCTGTTATCTGCTTTTTATCCATTGCTTCGAGTATCTTCTTCGAGTATCGAGTACATTAACAGGGATAGCGGAATAGAAAGTCCAGAAGCTTGGTTGCCCTTAATCAAGAAACACAGCAATAGGAGATCCCTACGACAGCGGACCCGTGAGGCAAAAGCCCATACAAACAACGGAGTAATGCACCAATCTCAGCAGCTAATATAATCGACCAACCAGAGCCAGAGCTTGGAGTCTTGTAAGTTCACTTGCGACCAGTCGACAAAGACTAGCAAGGCAAGGTCTTTAAGTGTTACTTTTTCTAATGAACACTTGAAGTACGCAGTTGAAACGTCGCGATCTACGTCATTAAGTGACTGAATCGTGAGACAAACGATTACACTTTATCAATATCAATATTGTAGACCAGTTTCACGAGCGACATGAAACTTTTGGTTGCAAGAGTCTCTTTGGAAATAAAACATCTGTGACCGACAAAGATAGGACATTGATTAACTGGACAAGTTATCCGGGCAAGCAGATATTCGTACAGGACAGGAATTGGAAAGATAGAGGAAGACTTTAGTTCTATATATATTATATTGCTCTTACAGAGCCGTTAATTCAACTGGGGACCAACCAGCGCTACCTGTGTTTGCTGTTTGACTAAGAATGTATTTATTCGAATTTTGAATCCAATGCTTTCTTGTGATTGGCTTATAAACCTCCGGGTGGCCCCGCTCGTATGAGCAACTCTGAAAATAAGCATTGAAAATACTTTTGATGAACGTTGCATCCGAAAAAATCAAGTTTCCGCAGCAAGATCTTTCAAGATGTACGATACTTAAAGGGAAGTAGACTATTTTTAATGTATAAATTAACAAAAACTTACATTCTGTATCTTACTAAAGCTCCCGTTCAAGGAAATCAGGTTTTATCATTTGTCTAGTATCGCCAAACATTGTATTTCAAGAGTTTTAAATAGAATAATGCATAAAAAGAAGTTGACTCATATTGATCTTTGAAGCTCTGATAGAACCTACAACTTGCAATAAAAATTAAAGTTAATTTTTTTTTCTCATCAGCCCATTTAAGCATGTTCTGTATTCTATATTTGGAAATAAACAAAGTTGTCTAAGTTAAAATTTTGTGTAAAACATGGATGGGGTCAATATTTTTATCAGGGCTCAGGCATCAAAATTTTGGGGGAAATGGGGCTCAGGGATCAAAATAACGGCAAGAAAATAGGGATCAATGGGTCCCGAATATACCATGTTACGACCCTGAAGTGTTAAATGTCCACTAAAATATAAAGAATATTTTTACCTTTTCCTTGTAAGTTATCACCATCATCTGAAACAAAAACGTAAATTTTGTAAGACTTTTAAATACAGAGTATTATTTTAGTAGTTCCTTGGTTCTTTTAACAGGCATAGAGAAGATACCTTCAGGCCTGTTTTCCCTTGGAGAATGGACAACTGACCGTGGCTAGCCTAAAAGTAAATTTGAGAAGAGAAGAAGGCGATAGGGGGATGTTTTCATCACAAGATTCCAAGGGAATTTTCTTAAACTCATACACTTTGTAACAAAGTGGCTATAGAATGGAAGAAAGACAAATCATAAAATTCCTCGATAGGACCTTGGATAACATGACTACGATCACTGAATCAGTAGCGATAAGTCAGGCTACCAGGTAACAGTGACCGCTGGTGGCTTAACACTGACTGACTCATCATGAGTGTAGAGAAAAACACGAGTGTTTGCGAACAAAAGGTGTGTTGCAGGAAACGTTCGAAAGCAGTTGATTTTTATGAAAGTGAACATGATCCTCGCAGTTGACTGTTAACCTAAGCGGCTGATTTTTGTTATCAATACGATAGCAGATTATTTATGTACCGAGTTTAAATTGCAGAATACAATCCGAGAAAACTTTTGCAAGCTATTTTCTTTCTCATGCTGTAACACTGAGTACTGTAATCTGCCACAGATATGATATACTGTATGATAAATATGATTAATAATCAGTACCTCTATAGTAAGGGTCCCTATAGCCTAAATAAGGGTCCCTATAGCCTAAACCTATATTACAAAACTCATCTAGCAACTATTATCAACATCGGGCTCTCAACTCACCCACTATTAAATTTAATCCTGCCGCATTTCCATCTTCCCTTTCAAAAATGTCTCCTAGCAGCTGCTCTAGAAACGCTTTTCTTGTTACTGCTAAGTGAATAAGGGTCAATAAACAAAGTACGATGGAAAAAGCCATAATCCCAATAATAGCAACGTTTAGTTTTGATTTCTCTTTGTATCGTAAGTCATTGCATGTAATATTAACTGGCCTTTGGTTAAGTGAAGTTAGCGTTATGTTTGTCTGATGGCATTTGTACTCCGCAGGAAAATGGAGGCGCTGGTAAGTACAGAACAGTCCCATCATGACACCAAGGAAAATAAGCTGAATGCAAACATGAGCGATGAATGTCAGCACAAACGTTTTCGAGTGTTTTCTTTTCCTTTGTTCGCCTCGCTCTCTTTGGATCCGTCGTAGAATCGTAGCCCCCATAAAAATAAACGGCACCCAGGCAATCCCCAGTCCACCATACGCGATACCAGAAAAGTCTAATGGTGTTAGATGGAGTGGGAGCAGGCTCATAGCAGAAGTATAATTGTCATAACAACGTTGTCTGGTGAAGTCTTCTGGCTTGGGGATACAGTTAAATGTCAGTCTATCTTTGTCGTGGTAATCCTTCAGGAAACCAATTACAAATGGCCAGGAGATTAGAAAGAAAATGAAATGAATACCACCAAATATGGTCTGGGTCCTGAGAGCCAGTTGAGATAGATTATCCATGGTAATTAGTGCCGCTCAAGATCTGAAAGGGGAACACCAATTTAAGAAAAAGTAAGACACAAAAACAAAGATATAATTGAAGCTCCAATGATATTAATGTCATTGCATGTAAAAGTTTAAGTATACAGAATATACAGCAACAGGAGAGGAGGTACAAATTATTTATTATTACTATAATTTACCCTAGGTCATTAAAAAGATTGTTATATTTCACGTACCAATCTTTCAACAGCAAATTAGTAATGGTAACAGGATTGAGTGGAGTCCAATTCGGTCTGTAATCATACGAGAGGTTAACAAAATCAGACGACCGCGTAGCGGGAGTCCGATTTGTTTAATCACGAGCCGTATGATTACAGACCGAATTGGACGACATGAAGTTCTGTTACCAGTTAATCATAACTTTAAAAAAAAATTGTGATAAGGCTCTTTTTTAAAATCAAAACACCAGAAATCCCAAGACCTTTTTTTTTGCCAGTAGTGAAAAAAAGCCACTTAAGCGACCGCGTAATGACGCGTACTGTCCAATTACTAATAGGCATGACGCGTACTTTCCTATTAAACTGTCCTATTAACGCTGAAATCAGGGCAGTTGATAGCCAATCAGATTTGAGAATTTTGTTATAGTTTGATTAACGAAATAATCATATGGCCACATATATATTATTATCCAAGTCGTACCCGTATATAACCACTGCTTCAGTGATATTTAAGGATCAATAACGAAACATGATAGTTCGGAATTTTTTTAATTTCATACTAGAAAGAAGCTAATTTCAACAAATTTAGTCTTCATTCTGATAAATTATAAAGAAAGAGGATAGATTGCTAATAGTTTAACGTCTGATGAAGCTTAATTCTATAACTATAGGAGTTTCAATTTGAAAGTTGGACAGTTTGGTCATTTTCAAAATAATTTTAAAACATGAAGAAAACGAAAATGACGCCTGGGAATTAAGGTGGGTAAGCCTTAATGTTAAAGGGAAAATATGTTATTTCTGTGAGTTTGCGATGCATGAAAGGGAAAAGCCCTTCGGGTAAATTTTCAGCGTGCAAGCAGATTACGATTGCTTTATTTGCCTGTTGGAGTTCGTGAACGGTTACGTGATGAATCCAGTGGAAGACAAGTCATTTTTATGAGTTTTGCTACTCTAATATGTCAACAATTTTTGCCGATTTCCAATTGGAAATCATGAAGGTGCACTGGTTTCAGTGATTTGCCTCGCACCTTTCCTCTCTTTTCTCCCGAAAGCAAGAGCTAGAGCAAGCCTGAGAGTCAGCAGTTAATTCCAAATGGCACAATTTTTGCCTGGCACATCAATTCTGCTGAATACACAGAGAAAATACTTTCTCCTCCTTTAAATACTTTCTCTATGAAGAAGGATTTGATCGATACCTTCGCACCTCCTGCATTTATTCGCAAATCGGCAAATAGAGTAGCCAAACCCATATAAAATGAAAAATCTCTCGTCTTCGGGGTCTTCCTCGAGATTCATCACTTTAACGCTATGGATCGAGACCTTGATGAATACTTTCAAAAGCAAATAAAGACATCTAGGAAATAAAAAAGCCATTTCCAAACGCTCACCTGGTTTGTAATCTGCTTGCACTCGGGAAATTTACTCGAAATCTCTCGATCTCGTCCTAGTGCGTTTTACGTGATGCCATCACACAAAAGTGAAAACCTCGGATAATAAGAAAACAAATTGACTGCTCATGCTTCTGATCTTTTTTTACATCCGACAATTTTTGGCTTTTTCCCGCTATTGCAGAGAATAGTGTGCTGGCTCGCATAAGGCTCGCCAGCAATGAGCTCTACTCAATTCATCTGATTTCTGGTGCACAACTACATTTAAAAGCAGGTGTGAAATTATTTCAGGTATAATTTTAGACAAATCACATAAAGAGGTCGTATTAGAAAAAAGCAACTGCACACATACCAAAGATTCCCTCTAAGAATTGTTTACTGTTTACAGAGTTAAAGGAAAACGATTTTAGGGTGGTTTTATGACTTGAGCTAAAGAGGAGTCAGTATTGGCATAGTTATAGGTGGTCACATGTAGAACAGAGATAGGATCACAATGTCCACAATGCTTTGCGGTGATGGCTTACTTAAAGTTGAACATGAAGAAGCTCGTGGAGTAAATCAAACAGAAATATATATAATTTGAACTTTTATTGGCATTCCCTAATTATAATTTTCCTCAGAGAGAGTAATAAAAGAAGGTGTATTTTACTTGCTGTTTTCGTTCTTCCCCATAACTCTTTACAATACCCGCAGTTATTAAATTTTTTCCTGCTTCACCATCTTTAGCATTGTTGTTTAGATTGTAAGGTAAATCGTTTAGATAAAGGTTAAAAAGTAGCGGGAAAGAATACAGCCTTGTGGAACACCTTAATCATAATAAAAAAATTCTGATCTAGTATAATCGTCTTTCACACCACATTTTGAATGGGAAAATACATGTTGGAAATTATTCTGTAAAAGGCCACCTAGTTATATTTCAACAATTTTAATAGTAAACCTTGATGCCAAATTTAGTCAGATGCCTTTTTAAAGGCAACAAAACAAGTAGAAAGTTTACCTCTGGAGGAATGAGTAACATGATGGTCTGGTCAGACGTACGATGTCCAGGCAAAAAGCTAATTAAGGCCGATGCAGTATTTTATGATGAATTTGTTTGCAAAGGGAATGGATGTTCTACACGACGACAGGCACATTAGAAAGCGACATATTGGTTTATTTGCTACTAATCTGATAAACACGGTTCGTAGCAAGTCGAACATACCGCTGACCCATCTCCCCAAGCTCGCAAACCAGAGAATCATGCCACCACATACTGGTAGTCAACAAACGCCTCCTTTGGCAAGATATAGAGCGTTTTCACTCACAAGGCCAGCATCTATGCTAATGTATTGGAACAAAAGAAAGCATTTACATGAGAAAAGAGTTAAACTCCCAGAGGATTTTCTTGGTACACCAACATGGCCGCCGTTTCATTGTTTTGGAACACCAATATGGCCGCCGTGACGTCGTGTGAAAACGCTCTATACATCCTGCAATGCATTAAAAAATCTTCCTGCTGAAACCCGTCAAGCGACACCTCAGTCATTACTGCCACAGTATATGCAAACAGACTATCAACAAGAAATTCGCCAACCATCCATTGTTCGAGAGAATAGACAAAATTCAACACTAACTAACTCTGGCACCCTTAGTGATTCAACTGTTGAAATACCTAAAGAACTTATATCCTTTTTTCGGCTGATAAAATCTTTTATTTCATACTAAATTCTTTATCAGGGTGAGATTGGTTTGTCATTGAATAACGAATTTAAGTACAAGGTAATTAGCTGCCACTATGACATGACTATGAGGCTAGAAAGTTACTTGACTTACTCAAATCATCTTTCTTTCCTCACGTGGAATGTATATGGCTACAATCGAGAACCCTCGGAACATACTCCGGAATAATGAATTTTTGAGCATGATTAACGGCTTTGATTTTGTGATTCTTAATGAAATTTGGAGCAGTTCTCCAGATATAGATTTGTAGAAGGATCTAGATTTATAGTTCAGCATGCTACTCAATCAAATAGTAGTGGCCGTAATTCTGTCGGAACAATTCTCTTCTACAAAAATGCACTTCATAATTGGATTTCAATGATTAAAAAAACCCCAAATTCCTTATGGTTTAAAATTGACTGGTCATACACTAAAACTGGGAAAGTTACATCTGTGGACTTTATATACCTCCGCGCGATTCAAAATATTTTAAACCAGAATTATTTGAAGAACTTGACTAAGACATAGAAAATTTTGCCTCTACAGGATCTAAACTCCTCTTGGGCGACTTCAATGCAAGAACGGGAAAATATCCAGACAACGTTTGTCACGACGAAAATCTTACCAATGACCGCTCTGAATTTTCATTACGACCTGCCCAGCGAAATAGCTTCAACAATGAGATCAATACCCATGGCAAAAGGCAGACCTAAAAATTTTAAATGGTAGAGTTAGGGGCGACTGTCTTGGGAGAGCCACCTTTCTGGGACAAATGGTACAAGTGTTATCAACTACGCTATATGTGACCAAGATTTATTTTCAAATATTGCAAAGTTCGTAGTGGAAAAGCCTTCTCCTCTATCGGATCACAGTCCAATCTTAACCTGGTTGCATGTAAACACCGAAATGAAATTTTTGTCATATTGAATCACCACGTGTAAATGACTCTTTAACACATTTACACAAACAATTTATCTGGGAAAATGATTCCACGCATAAATTCAGAGATACTTTACGTTCTCCAAATCTTCAACTCAGTATTAATACGAGATTACTTAGATGACAGCACTCCAACTAATGATGTAAACAACTCTTTAGAAAATGTAGAGAACATCCTTATGACTGCCGCAAAACGTTCTCTTAAAACTAAAATCACCAAGAAACGTAGGCGCACTAGGTCTTTTCCAAACAAAAAAATGGTTTGACAAGGAGTGCCGTTTTAAAAGACATGAACTTCGAAAATGATCTAACAAAAAGCATAAAGATCCCGCCCTAAATGCCCATTTTCGCCGAGAATACCACATGGTATCGGACACAATACAAAACTTTGTTAACCTCAAAAAAGAGTGAATATTATGATACAAAGATCACTGAGTTGGAAAACTCTACAAACAATTTAGATCAGACAAGCTTTTGGAAATGTTTAAAGTCGATAGATGACACCGTTAAACAAAAAGATGTCCAATTAATAGTATCTGAACAAAATTGGCTCTGTTATTTCCAATCACTATACATTCCAATAAACCTCTCAATTCCACACGGGAGATAGTTACTAATGAGCTAAAGCATCTTGAGATTCGGAAGAATCAACCATGCCCCTTAGATGATGTGGTTACCGAAAACGAAATACGCGCAGCCGCGAACAAATTTTATATTAAAGAAAAAAATCTCCTTTTTCGGACAAAATCAAAAATGAAATGATTAAAGCTAGTAT